ACTTTTGGACCATATTCTGTTTCCTTCCTTCCTTCCTTCCTTCCTTCTTTCCTTGCTTGCTTGCTTGCTTGCGTGCCTGACTTTCTTTCTTTCTTTCGTTCCTTCTTCCTTTCTTTCTGTCCCTTCCCACCCCTGTGTCCCTTCCTCGGGCTGCTCATTGGGCTCTGCTGCTGGCGGGCAAGGCGCTGACACCTCTTCTAGCTCCTCATCGCTGCTGTCGGGACCCTGAGGCGCGAACACAACATGCATCGTTCTCTACCACTGCGACACCAAATATCTTCCCGCACAACCACGGGCAACAGGAAATGACTGGTGACAGGGCGCAAAGCTCCTTTGCTTTGCTGGCGCTTAAAGGCACTTTGCATCCACAACATCAAAGCCTTCTTGACCATCTTGATACATCAAACGAGATTTCTTTTCGACATGTTTCTCGTGTCGTTCGAAGCCTCCGGCTCCCATTGGCTTGGCAAACAGGGCGCTTCTGCCTCTCAAGTCACAAGTCTAAATCCTTCAAAAGCCAGACATGCCAGGCTCTTGCCTCGGGTTGAGACATGCCAGGCTCTTCTGGTGGTGGAGCACCAAGACCTGAACCTCAGCAACACTGTCAGTGACCAAATTTGTCACAATCTTGGTCAAATGTTTCGTTTCTTGGATGCCACGTTCCTCAAATCCGACAAATATATGTCATATTCCAAGCTTCACGAATTGGGACCCAAACAGCCTTGCAAGCTTGGCCGCAGTCCCATGAAGGAGAGCGAAGGCACCTTCGGCACCTTCGCCTCCTTCTTCAAAGGTGGAAGAGGAGGGACTGCAGGGACAACGGGCCTCAGAAAGAACATCAACTCCGAATTAAACGGAAGGACATGAGATGAGATCAGTTGGACCACCTCAAAGCGAAAGAAATCAACATCAGTCAAAAGTGTTCTTGCAAGGACTTGGCACACGGGCGGTGTGGGAGCCTCTTCAAGCTGCAGCATCGGCTGCATTGGCCGCATCATTGGCGGATCCTGTCAGCCAATGCTGCAGGCCAACTGTCCCGTCAAAGAAGCGGTACACTCAGTGGAACAACTGAACCTGTAATGGCCTCCAACCTAATAGCCATGGCCTCCAACCCAATAGCCATGGCCTCCAACCTAATAGCGATAGCCTCCAACCTAATAGCAATGGCCTCCAACCTAATAGCGATGATAGCCTCCAACCGAATAGCGATGGCCTCCAACCTAATAGCGACGATGGCCTCCAACCTAATAGCGATGGCCTCCAACCTAATAGCGATGGCCTCCAACCTACTGGCGATGACAGCAATGGCCTCAAACCCAATGGCGATGGCCTCCAACCCAATATCGATGGCCTCCAACCTACTAGCGATGGCCTCCTCCAACCTAAAAAGGATGGCCTCCAACCTAATAGCCTAATAGCAATGGCCTCCAACCTAAAAGGGATGGCCTCCAACCTACTAGCGATAGCCTCCAACCTAACAGCGATGGCCTCCAACCTCCAACCTACATAGCGATGGCCTCCAACCTCCAACCTAATAGCGATGGCCTTCAACCTCCAACCTAATAGCGATGGCCTCCAATCTGCTAGCGATGGCCTCCAACCCGCCAACCTACATAGCGATGGCCTCCAACCTCCAACCTACTAGCGATGGCCTCCAACCTAATAGCGATGGCCTCCAACCTCCAACCTAATAGCGATGGCCTCCAACCTGCTAGCGATGGTACAACCAAAAACGTCTGAAATCTGGAAGGACCAGGCCTCTGCAGGCTCTGCGGGTTCCACAGGCAAAGGCTCGGCAGGCTCGGCAGGCTGCGGTGGGAAGTCCTCCTGGCTGCGGTGGGAAGTCCTCCTGATGCCGACTGTTTCCAGCCAGTGACACATTTGTCTACCATTGGCCTCATCACTGCTGTCTGGAAGTAGTGGCTCTTGCGATGGCCTCACACATCACACACCGACTCCTGCATGAACATTTTGATGCTTTTGTGGGTGCAAGGACGCTATTAGGGGCTCCTGGCATCGCTACTAGGAGCAAAGAAGCTACTAGGGGCTCCTGGCCTTACTACGAGTAACAAGGACGCTACTAGGGGCTCCTGGGTGGGTGCAAATGACAGCTTTTAGATTCTCCACTCAACTACCCTCCAGGAATCCAGCCTTGGATCTTGTTCTGGAGCAGCCTCGTACTATGAACCGTTAGAATGTCCACTATCATGCAAAAACATTGCGCACTCCATATGGAGCTGCCCTAGTCGGTTGAAGGCCATCGCTAGTAGGTTGGAGGCCATTGGAGGCCACAGTGCTACACTCTCTTCCGTCACTCGAGACTCCTGGATGAGAGGCGTCTGCGCTTCGAGTCCAACCTCGGCGGAAGAACAATGACGAAATCTGAAGTACTCGGAACAAGAACGCTACTAGTAACAAAGGGCATCGCTAGTAGCAAGGCTCAAAAGTCCGCGCTTCGGATCTGAGAGCCACACAGGATCAAGTCGTGAGACTTCCTATGGAGGGACCATAGAGACGCTACATTTGGGGCTCCTGGCCTTACTACTAGTAACAAGAAGCTACTAGTAGCAAAGGGCATCACTACTAAGAGCAAGGATGCTACTAGTACATAGAGCATCATAGAGCTCTGTACTGAAGTGACAAATACCGAGAGGACATGAGAGGATAAGTTGTTTCTTAGAAGTCTTCTTCGCGCTTGGCTTCTCTTCTTTGTCTTTGAACGAGACAAGACTGTGGCTCATAGCCTCAGGTGGTGCAGCACCCAGTCCGCTGCATCCTGCAGAGTCGGCTAGTGCTAGTGGATGCTTTCTGCCAATCAAGATGCGTTCGTCATCAAAAGGATAAATCTCAAAGAAGAAAAAGAGTCAAAAAGCAAAGTTCACACTCAACAGTCTGCTACTTCTTTTGGGCTCTCAGAACGGAAACGCCAAGTCTGTGCGTCTCACCCAGTCTAAATCCTGACAGGGAATGACAAGGAGTGACTAAAGTCTGCAGTTCCAAGCAGAACAGAGTGACAAGCAGAACGAAAAGTGTCTTCCCCGGTCCACGTGGCGGAAGTCTCGAGGTCGGAAGGCTGCCGGGCCCACAAAGAAACGATAGGCTGCATAAATCCAAGAAGGAGGTTCACGAAGGTCACAAACCACCTCACAGCCCAAAATGTTTCGCCAGGACGGCTCTGGCAGCTCTAGAAACTGATCTGTTTCGATCCAGCACCAAAGCCCCGATTGAACTAAGTTTCGAGCACGAACGGGGAACTCCTGGAAACTGTCTCAAAAGTCACAACCAAACCTCTCAGCAATCGTTTACCTCATTCTCGAACCAAAGGAGCTACTCTATACAGAAGCTACTAGGAACAAGTGCATCGCTTCTAGTAACAAGTGCCTTACTAGTAGTAACAAGAAGCGAACGTAGAAACAATAATTAGTATATAATTAGAATTAAGTCTTATATTGTTTCTACTAGCTTCTTGTTACTACTAGTAAGGCACTTGTTACTAGAAGCGATGCATTTGTTCCTAGTAGCTTCCTTACAGAAAAAGCCGGGCCGAAACGGAGCATAGCACGACTTCCATCGCCTCCTGTCCATCCGTGAGCTTTGCCCAGCCCTTCACGATCTCCCCGGGAGGACAGTTCGCTTCACGAATCCACACCTTCACAAACTAAATCTTCAAAAACCCATACTGGCTGCCATCGCTAGTAGTAACAGGTGCCTTACTAGTAGAAACAATGTTTGCTATTAGAAACAAGTGCCACGCTACTAGTAACAATAGCAATGGCCTCCAACCTACTAGCGATGGCCTCCAACCTAGAATGATGTCGTAAGAACGGAACATGTCCGATTGCCGGGTTTTCTTCTATTGGCTCTTTATCCAAGGGCACTTTCCTTTAAAAAAAAAAGAAAAGGATGATCGTTGTTTCTTTCCGCCCTTTCTTTCCACAAAATCTGCAGCGAGAGTCCAAGGTTTGGAGCCAAAGGCGGATGTTTTCAGGCTCTACCCGCCGAGCACGCTCCACGGCCATAGCATGGTGAAGATCATCCTCACGAGTTCCTGGCACAAAGGGTCAGAAGTCACAACAAAGGACGCTACTAGGGGCTCCTGGCCATACTACTAGTAACAAAAAGCAATTAGAAACAAGAATTAGAATTAACATGAATTAACATCCATATGCAATTTAATTAGAATTGATTTAAAAGCACAGGGTCAGAACTCACAACAAACATCTTTTCTGTAAAATATAGTAAAACTGTTTGAGATGTTTGTATAGTAACAAGCTTCTTGTTACTACTAGTAAGGCACTTGTTACTAGAAGTGATGCACTTGTTACTACTAGCTTCTTGCAATGTTTGAGATATATGTAAACTGTAAATATAACTGTACAATAGTATGTGTATTTTCCGAACCTCTCTAAGTCTCTAGAACGGAAATGTGTAAGGTGATGGAACCACCGTTATGACCGCTTTCCAAATGCTCCTAAATGTGCAATCCAGATCCCTCAAAAGTCTATAATTATATAGAAAGAAACTCTCTTTCGCAAGCTCTTCAACCTTGCTTGCTTCGTGCCTTTGGGACGGATCAACGAAGGAACCTTCAGTGCAAAGGAAAGATCCTTGGAGGGCGGGCTCTCAATCTGGCGATGCACTTGTTCCTAGTAGCTTCTTGTTCCTAGTAGTAAGGCCAGGAGCCCCTAGTAGCTTCTTGTTACTACTAGTAAGGCACTTGTTACTAGAAGCGATGCACTTGTTCCTAGTAGCTTGTTGCAAGTTGGCGAGAAAATGAATGGGCAAATCGGTTCATGCATGTTGTACGGTTTACCGCATATTCTGGTGATGCCAGTTTTGCCAATATGAATGATTGAGTTTGTCTGCATCACAACAAGCCGTTGGCGGCTTCTGTGAAGATGGAGTTAACACTCTGCGCTTTCTGGAGCCAGATTGAGTGCGGCTATCCTTTAAACAATGATAAAGAGATAAGATCTTCAAAATGTGCTTATTATTTGTATTGCCAAAGTCCAAGGATCGTAAGAGATTGGCGGAAACATAGTCAGGTGATTATGGTTCGGCGCCACAATCTGGAGGACAAGCGCACATGAAACATCACACAGCAACAAGCAAGGGACTGCAGCAACAAGCTGTCTCATCAAAAGTGACGCCCTCAACTCGTGTGTCAAAAGCACCCACCTCGTGTGTAAAAACGTCCGATGTAGCAGAAATATGATCCTCGCTGCCGAGAAGAAGCTCTTGCCTTTCAGCAGAATTTGCGATTTCTAGCTGTCCCTGCAAAAAGAAAACTCTCAGAACTAGTATTGATATTCAAACCCAACAAAATTGGAAGCTTCTTCTCAATTCCTTCTCCACTGATAACAGTAGATTCGTAGTTTGTCCAAAAATGGGGTCGGCTTTTGGGCCCGGAACGCCATAGAGCGGTTCATCAGTGAGCAGTGATTGGACCTTGGCTTTCACATATCAGCGACGACACCCATCTTGGACCATCCTTGCTACTAGTAGCGTCCTTGCTCCTAGTAGTAAGGCGAGGAGCCCCTAGTAGCTTCTTGTTACTAGCAGTAAGGCCAGGAGCTACTAGTAGCGTCCTTGCTCCTAGTAGTAAGGCCAGGAGCCCCTAGTAGCTTCTTGTTACTAGCAGTAAGGCCAGGAGCTACTAGTAGCGTCCTTGCTCCTAGTAGCGATGCCCTTTGCTCCTAGTAGCTTCTTGTTCCTACGACCACACCCACCCGGACCAATGCTGGTGGAATTTGAGTGGATACCTTTTTGGTTCCTACATCTCCCGCGACCTGTTTGGGCAGCGAGTTGATTGTCAAATACAGGAACCCTGCACAGTTTGGCACAGTCGAGTTTAAGAGTCTCCAGGCTTGATTGTCCCCTTGTCTTCCTGAATTACCCATTATATAGTCAGTCGCAAAACACGTTCCAGGGATGTTCCTGGCATTGGGCCAAGGAAATGAGAACATGTTGGTTTACCAAACCACTCTCATGAAGGCATTGTCGTGGATAGAGACAGAATATTTCACTTTCGATCATATCGTCTCTTTCCCGTCCGAGCAACATCCTCACAACATCGGGAAGTAGTTCTGCTGGATCCTCATCGAAGTACTCGACCCCAAGCTGCCAGCCACAACGCAGCACGCATGGTGTGCCTGCTTCGCAAAGGAGGAAGACGGTTGTTAAGTCAGGAAGTCAACTCAAGCTGTTCATTGGCACTTCATCAACCATGTTAGGAGGCTTCGGACCAAAAATTGCCAAAGATCATGTCTTGGTCTTCAAAAACTCCGAGCAGCTGGCCTGAGAACTCAATCAATAGGTCTCTCCTTAGATGAATCCCAGCATCTGAATGCAAAGTCACAGTATGGATCACAAGGCATGTTTCTTTTGCCAGGAAACGTTACAAGTTCGTTCCAACACTCCGCAGCTTTGTGCGTGAACTTCAAATCATCCTCCACAAGCAGGTGCCACTCCTTCTTGGAGTTGGCGATTTCAGCCCAGGCCTCTCCGGGAGTGGAATCGGCTTGGCAAAGCTGGGCAAAGTCATACAGAAGTAGGTGTCAAAAGTATGTCAAATCATTTCAAGCCTATGGTTGAATATGGTTGAAGCTCGAAACAAAATGAAGTAAACTCCCTGATTGTCGGGTTCCGTCTTCCGTGGCAAGGAAGGCCTTTCGAAAGGAAAGCCAATTGGCAATCTGCTCCTGGAGCATATCGTTGTTGGCACAACAGCACTCGGAGACCAAGCCGCACCGAAAGCAGGGCGGGAACTTTGCCACGCGCCTCAGATTCAGATCGTTGCAAGTTGGAGGAACTCCGACTTCACTGTCAGCTCTCAAACCCAACAAGGTCTATAAAGGATTTTACAGCACTGTATATGTGATTGCTGAGTTGACTCAAGATTGTGAACTTGAGAATAGAAGGAGAGTCGGGCAGGATACAAGAAGCTGGAGTTTCATGAATCCAGATACTAGAAACATGCACAAAGGATGGTTCAAAGTTCCGCAGCTCGAAAGAGGGCAAAACAGCTCCGGAGTTCAGCTAAACTACATTGATCATACATTCAAACAAAAACATCCCAACAAAAATATATAGATTGTTATTATTAATATATATATATATATATGTGTGTGTTTCTTGTTTTTTGCTTTTTAGTTTTAGATGCAAAATAACCCAACGCATCCAAATGCCATGTGAGTTTCTCATTTCGGACTTCGCCGAGCCACGGGGAGTTGAACCATTTTAGCACCTCCTCATCTTCCGGTCCAAACGCTTCGACGAAGCGCGGAGCTGGGAAACCCCAGCCTCAAGCCAAACGCATTTCGAGACAAGAAAAACGTCTTCTTTCAAGGTCTAAACATCGTAAAAATGTTCTAAAGAAAAATATATAGAACCACATGTCTAAAGGCAAAAAAACGAATCAAACCAATGCCAAGCAACGGGAAAGCTCATGCTCCATATGGCGACGCCGTGCGCTGCATGAAGGCATACTCACACAAAGGACCTTTGAACACTGCACTCAGAGTAATGAAGTAGAATGCCTATTAAGCAACAACATGCAAAAACACTTTCTCTTAGGAGCAAGGACGCTACTAGGGGCTCCTGGCATCGCTACTAGGAGCAAGGACGCTACTAAGCTTATCGCCTCGCCATCAAAAACGGAGCTGTCACATCTATGACCTCGTCTGACTGCCTCTGAACGACACGAAGCAAGGATTGCAGCTTTGAGGTGTGTGCATCCGACCATGAACACAAGCGAACAGAACTGGAAAGTTTCAAGGGGAGACATTGTGACATTGACTCGCCTCATCAGCCTTTGAAGCCATTTCAGCTTGAAGTTGAAGGATGTCCACCTCTTCCTCCATGCGAACGAGAACTCGATGCGAGTCATGCGAGTCTCGTGTCAATGTGAAATGCAGTTGACCTTTGCCTATGTCCTCAGTATCCTTTGCGGTTGTAGTGACTATGTAGTGAGCGGTAGTTCAAGCCCCGAAGCTGCTTGCTACTAGAATGTCAGGCATCAAAAAGAACCAAACAACCCTTTCTAGCGATTTCTAGGGTTTCTTCCATTGGAATCCTGGAACATGTTCTCCTGCAAGAGCTCATGTACTCGGCTTCCTGGTCGGATGCCATCAGGGCCACGAAGGCGCCTCGCGTTGAAACAGATATTGTGTTTTGCGGTGCGTTCTGACACGCCTATGAAGGCCTTTCTTCTGAGGCCTATTAACTCCAATGTTTTTGATAGTATTTAAATGTATTTAAGCTTTAACAAGAACAGCTTTCTCTCGGGAGTTGCAAATCTCGGGCTTGTGTTTTGATGTTTTCGTTGGATCTTCTCGCCAGGCACCTCTGACTTCGCTTGCGGGGACGGCTCCCCGGACGGCGCACGGCCCAAGACCTGAGATGCAGCTTTTGTGAAAGGAGCGTAAGCAGCTTGGCAAACAAACGCTAGTAGTAACAGGTGCCACGCTAGTAGTAACAGGTGCCTTACTAGTAGTAACAAGAAGC